ACACGTAAGGCATGGGCAATAGCGCGCGAAAATATGGGAATCGGGCGGAATTCTAGTATTATGGACGTTAAACGCAAAAACAGAAAGCACGGTCATGGAGAAGCGGTGACTATGATTCCTTAGGTCGTATTTGATGGCCCAAAAAATATTTAGGCGATCCGGGTCCCGGGGGACGGGCCGACGCATAAGGCGTGGGCTATAGCACACGAAAATATGGGAATCAGGTGGAATTCCAGTTTTATGGCCGTAAAATGCAAAAAAGCGAGGAACAACCATGACAGGGTGGTGTCTATTGTTCCTTAGGTCGTATTTGATGGCCTGGTAATTTTTAGGCAATCCAGGTCCAGAAGCCTGGGCCCACGCGAAAGGTGTTGGCTGTAGCAAACAAAAATATGGGAATTAGGCGGAATTCCAATTTTATTCTCGTAAAATACCAAAAAATGAAGAACGGTCATGGCGGGGGATTGACTATGGTTCCTTAGGTCGTATTTGATGGCCAGTAAAAGTTTTGGGTGATCCGGTTCCAGGGGCCAGGGCCTACGTGGAAAGCGTGTGCTATAGCACACAAATATATGGGAATCGGGCGAAATTCTTGTTTTATGACCATAAAATGCCAAAAAATGAGCAACGGTCATGGCGGGACGATGACTATGGTTCCTTAGGTTGTATTTGATCCCCAAAAAAATTTAGGCGATCAAGATCCGGGGGCCCGGGCTCACGCGGAAGGCGTGGGCTATACCATACTAAAATATAGGAATCGGGAGAAATTCAAGTTTTATGGCCGTAAAATAAAAAACAAGGAGGAACAGCCATGGCGTGTGCTATAGCACACAAAAACATGAGAATCGGGCGGAATTCTAGTTTTATGATCGTAAAACGCCAAAACATAAAGAACATTCATGGCAAGGTGATAAATGTGGTTTCTTAGGTCGTATTTGATCCCCCAAATTTTTTTTAGGTGATCCAGATCCGGAGGCCCAGGCCCACGTGGAAGGCGTAGACAATAGCACAAGAAAATATGGGAATGAGGCAGAATTCCAGTTCTATGGCCGTAAAATGCAAAACAAAAAAGGAACGGTCGTGGAGGGGCGGTGACTATGGTTCCTTAGGTCGTATTTGATGGCCCGAAAAACTTTTAGGCGATCCGGGTCCATGGGGCCACAGGGAAGGCATGGGCTATAGCACATGAAAATATGGGAATCAGGTAGAATTCCAGTTTATTACCGTAAAAAGCTAGAAAATGAGGAACGGTCATGGCGGGGCGGTAATTATAGTTCCTAAGGTCGTATTTGATGGCCAAGAAAATTTTTAGGCGATACGAATTCAGGGGTCCAAGCCCGCGCGGAAGATGTGGGCTATAACACACGAAAATATGAGAATTGAGCGAAATTCAAGTTTTACGACCGTAAAACGCAAAAAGGAGGAACGGTCATGGCGTGGCGGTGACTATGGTTCCTTAGGTCATATTTCAAGGCCCGAAATTTTTTTTAAGCGATTCGGTTCGGGGGACCGAGCCACGCGGAAGGCGTGGGCTATAATACATAAAATTATGGGATTCTGGCTAAATTCCAATTTTATGACTGTAAACTGCCAGAAAATGGAGGAACGGTCATGAAGGGGTGGTGACTATGGTTCCTTAGGTCGTATTTGATGTCCCGTAAAATTTATAGGCGATCCGGGACCAGGGGACTGAGGCCACACGAAAGGAGTGGGCTATAGCACACGAAACTATGGGAATCAGGCGGAATTCCAATTTTATGGCCGTAAAATGCCAAAACATGGAGGAACGGTCATGGAGGGGTGGTGACTATTGTTCCTTAGGTTGTATATGATGGCCCGAAAAAGTTTTACACGATCCGGGACTGGGGGCCGGGGCCACACGAAAGGTGTAGGCTAGAGCACACGAAAATATGAGAATCAAGCAGAATTCCAATTTTATGGCCGTAAAACGAGGAACGGTCATGGCGGGGCAGTGACTATGGTTCCTTAGGTCGTATTTGATTGCCCAAAATTTTTTTAGGTGATCCAAATCCGGGGGCCCGGTCCCGCGCGGAAGGCTTGGGCTATGACACACGAATATATGAGAATCAGACGGAATTCAAGATTTATGGCCGTAATACGCAAAACACAGAGGAAGGCTCATGGAGGGGCAGTGACTATGGTTCCTTATGTCGTATTTGATGGCCCTGAAATTTTTTGGGCAACCGGGACCGAGGGACCGGGGCTGCACGAAATGCGTGGGCTATAACACATAAAAATATGGGAATCGGGCGGAATTCTACTTTTATGGCCGTAAATCCCCTAAATATGGTGAACGGTTATGGTGGGGAGGTGAGTATGGTTTCTTAGGTCGTATATGATGGCCTGAAAAACTTTTAGGCAACTCGGGTCTGGGGACCCGGCCCACGCGGAAGGCGTGGGCTATAGCACAAAAAAATATGGAAATCGGGCAGAATTCCAATTTTATGACCGTAAAATTCCGAAAAAATGAGGAACGGTCATGGATCTGCAGTGACTATTCTTCATTAGATCGTATTTGATTGCTCAAAAAATTTTAGGTGATCCGGGTCCAGGGGCCCGGGCCCACGCGAAAGGCGTGGGCAATAACACAAACAAAATATGGGAATCGGGCGGAATTCCAGTTTTATGATCGTAAAATGCCAAAAAACGAGGAACAGTCGTGGAGGGGTGGCGACTATGGTTCCTTAGATCTTATTTGATTGCCCGAAAATTTTGTAGGCGATCCGGATCTAGGGGATCGGGCCAGCGCGGAAGGCGTTGATTATAACACACGAAAATATAGGAATCAGATGGAATTTCAGTTTTATGGCCGTAAAACGCAAACAAAGGAAGAATAGTCATGGAGGGGTGGTGACTACGGTTCTTTAGGTTGTATTTGATGGCCCGAAAATATTTTAGGCAATCTGGGTCCGGGGCCACACGGAAGGCGTGGGCTATGCACACGAAAATATGGGAATCGGGAGGAATTCAAATTGTATGGCCGTAAACCGCCAAATATCGAGGAACACTCATGGCAGAGCGTTGACTATGGTTCTTTAGGTCTTATTTGATAACCCGGAAAATTTATCGGCCATCCGGATCAGGGGGCCCGGGCCCACGCGAAAGGCTTGGGTTATAACACATGAAAATATGGGTATAAGGCAGAATTCCTGTTTTATGGCCGTAAAACACATAAAACGGAGGAACGGTCAAGACGGGGCGGTAACTATGCTTCCTCAGGTTATATTTGATGGCCCAAAAAATTTGTAGGCGATCTAGGTCTAGGGGGTCGGGCCCACGCTGAAGGCGTGGGCTATATCACAAAATAATATGAGAATCGGGTGAAATTCCAGTTTTATGGCGGTAAAACGTAAAAAGGGAGGAACGGTCATGGCGGGGCGGTGACTATGGTTCCATAGATCGTATTGTATGTCCTGAAAATATTTTAGGCGATCCGGGTCCGGGGGCCCGGACCCACGCGGAAGGCGTGGTAGCACACGAAAATATGAGAATCAGATGGAATTCCAGTTTTATGGCGAAAATTGCAAAAAAGGAAAAATGATCATGGCAGGACGCTGACTATGGTTTCTTAGGTCGTATTTGATGGCCCGAAAATTTTTTATGCGAACTTGGTCCAGAGGTCCGTGCCCACACGGAAGGCGTGGGCTATAGTAGACGAAAATGTGGGAACCAGGCGGAATTTCTATTTTATGCCCGTAAAACGCAAAAAAGGGAGGAACGGTCATGGCGGGGCGGTGACTATGGTTTCTTAGGTCATATTTTATGGCCCGAAAAGTTTTTAGCCGATCTGACTCTGAGGGCCCGAGCCCGCACGGAAGGCCTCTTAGCACACAAAAATATAGGAATCAGGCAGAATTCCAATTTTATGGCCGAAAATGCAAAAAGGAGGAATGATCATGGCGGGACGGTGACTATGGTTCCTTAGGTCGTATTTGATGGCCCGGAAAATTTTTACGCGAACAGGGTCCGGAGACCCGTGCCCACACGGAAGGCGTTAGCCATAGTAGACGAAAATATAGGAATCGGGCGGAATTCATGTTTTATGGCCGTAAAATGCAAAAAAAGAGGAACGGTCATGGCAGGGTATTGGCTATGGTTCCTTAGGTCTTATTTGATGGCCCGAAAATGTTTTAGGCGATCCCGGTCCGGGGGCCCGAGCCCACGCGGAAGGCATGGGATATAGCACACAAAAATATAGGAATATGGTGGAATTCAAATTTTATGGTCGTAAAACGCAAAAAAGAGGAGGGACGGTCATGTCGAGGCGGTGTCTATTGTTCTTAAGTTCGTATTTGATGGCCCGAAAAAACTTTAGGCGATCCGGGTCGGGGGGGCCCGAGCCCACGCGGAAGGCGTGGGCTATAGCATACGAAAATATGGGAATTAGGCAGAATTCCAATTTTATGGCCAAAAATGCAAACAAAAGGGGAATGATCACGGCTGGACGGTATGGTTCCTTAGGTCGTATTCGATGTCCCGAAAAACTTTTAGGTGATCTGTGTCCGGAGGACCAGGCCCACGCGGAAGGCGTGGGATATAACATATGAAAATATGGGAATCGGGCGGAATTCCTGTTTTATGGCCGTAAAACACAAAAATGGAGGAACAATCATGGAGGGGCGATGACTATGGTTCCTTAAGTCGTATTTGATGGGCCGAAAACTTTTTAGGTGATCCGGGTCCGGTGGCCCAAGCCCAAGCGAAAGGCGTGGGCTATAGCACAGGAAAATATGAGAATCAGATGGAATTTTAGTTTTATGGCCGAAAATACAAAAAAAGGAGGAATGATCATGGCGGGGCAGTGACTATGGTTCCTCCTCAAACATCTTGGATGTTGAAGAAGATTCTGAAGGCAAAAAAGTATTTTGAGGTTGTTGGTTTCCAACAAGCCGATATAATGAACATGCAATCCTTCTCAATTAAAAAGTTTTATCACAAGTTGAGGGGGAGTTCCCTAAAGTGTCCTGGAGGAAACTAATATGCAATACCCAAAATGGGCTTTCAATCTGAGATTGGTGGCTCATGGAATGTTGCTTACACGGGACAGACTGTCCAAATGGGGTATAACCACTAATATCTTATGTCCTCTATGTGATGTGGAGTATGAGACAATTGCTCATATATTCTTTCAATGCAAATATTCGGCTGCTATTTGGGAAAGATTACTACTCTGGGAGGGAATAGATAGGAAAGCTAGCAGGTGGCCCGTAGAACAAGATTGGGCTGAGAATCATGCAAATGGGAAAGGGGTGGAAGTAGAGGTATATAGAATCATCTTGGCAGGATGCACTTACTTTATCTGGCAGGAAAGAAATAACAGAATATTCCAAAGTGCTAGAAGAACTGAAGATCAACTAGTGAGGTTGATTGCCCAGGAGGTCCAAGGCAGGGGTAACAATACGGTAAAATTTGGAGGGTACTTGAGAAGAATGAATTACTACCCTTAGTATGATACCCTTTTCCATGAGGCGGAGTTTAGATGTCATGTAGTTTCACTGAATTTGTTTTCGTTTACTATAGGTATGGGCTTGTGAACAGATCTTTAGGGGTTTTTGTGCTGTACAAACATTTCCCTAGTAATAACATCTTTATTTACCAAAAAACAAAATATAGGAATCGAGCAAAATTTCAGTTTTATGGCCGCAAAACGCAAAAAAAGGAGGAACGGTCTTTGGGGGGGGGGGGTGGCTATGGTTCCTTAGGTTGTATTTGATGGATCAAAAATATTTTAGGAAATCCGGGTCCAAGGTATTCGCGCCCACATGGAACACGAAAGCTATGGCAAACGAAAATATGGGAATCAGGCGGAATTCCAGTTTTATGGCCGTAAAATGCAAACAAAGGCGGAACGGTCATGGTAGGGTTGTGACTATGGTTCCTTAGGTCGTATTTGATGGTCCAAAATTTTTTTAGGCGATCCGGGTTCAGGGGTCCGGACCCATAGGGAAAGCGTGGGCTATAGCATACGAAAATAAGAGAATCGGGCGGTATTCCAGTTTTATGGCCGTAAAATGATAAAAAGGAGGAACGGTCGTGGCAAGGCGATGACTATGTTTCCTTAGGTTGTATTTTATAACCCGAATTTTTTTTAGGCGATCTGGGCTTGGGGCCACGCGGAAGGCGTGGTGGGTTATAGCACACGAAAATATTCCAATCGGGAGGAATTCCAGTTATATGGCCGTAAAATGCCAATATATGAGAAACTATCATGGTGGCACGATGACTATGGTTACTTAGGTCGTATTTGATGGCCCAAAAAAGTTTTAGGTGATCGGGTCCGAGGGGCCGGACCCACGCAGAAGGCGTGGGCTATTGCACACGAAAATATGGGAATCGGGTGGAATTACAGTTTTATGATCGTAAAACGCCAAAAAATGAAGAACAATCATGGCGGGGCGGTGACTATGGTTCCTTTGGTCGTATTTGATGGTCTGGAAACTTTTTAGGTGATCCGGTTCCAGTGGCCCGAGCCCATGCGGAAGACGTGGGCTATAGCACACGAAAATATGGGAATCGGTCGAAATTCTAGTTTATGGCCGTAAAATGCAAAAAATGTGGAACGGTCATGGCGGAGCAGTGACTATGGTTCCTTAGGTCGTATTTGATGGCCCGGAAATATTTTAGGTGATCCGGGTTCGGGAGGCGGGACCCATGCGGAAGGCGTGTGCTATAACACACGAAAATATGGGAATCAGGTGGAATTTAAGTTTTATGGCCGTAAAATGCCAAAACAACGAGGAACGGTTATGGAGGCGTAGTGACTATGGTTCCTTAGGTCGTATTTGAAGACCCGAATTTATTTTAGAAAATATGGGAATCGGGCAAAATTCTAGTTTAATGGTCGTATAACGCCAAAACAACGAGGAACGGTCATGGAAGGGTGGTTAGTATGGTTACCTAGGTCATATTTGATGGTCCGAAAACCTTTTAGATGATCCGGTTTTAGTGGCCCGGGGCTCATGCGGAAAGCGTAGGTTATAGCATACGAAAATATGGGAATCAGGTGGAATTCCAGTTTTATGGCTGTAAAACGCAAAAAAAGGAGGAACAACCATGGGGGCGGCGACTATAGTTCTTTAGGTCGTATTTTATGGCCCGAAATATTTTTAGGCAATCCGTGTCTGGGGGGCGGGGCCACGTGGAAGGCATGGGCTATAGCACACGAAAATATGGGAATCGGGCAGAATTCTAGTTTAATGGCCGTAAAATGCCAAAAAAGAGGAACGGTCATGGCGGGGCGGTGACTATGATTACTTAGGTCTTGTTTGTTGGCCCGAAAAGTTTTTAGGCGATTGGGTCCGGGGGCCCGGGCCCACACGGAAGACGTGGGCTAACACATACAAATATGAAAATCGGGCGGAATGCCAGTTTTATGGGCGTAAAACGCAAAATAAACGAGGAACAGTCATGGGGGAGGGCGATGACTATGGTTCCTTAGGTTGTATTTGATGGACCGAAAAATTTTTAGGCAATCCGGGTCCGGGCGGGCGGGCCCATGCAGAAGGTATATCACACGAAAATATGAGAATCGGGCGGAATTACAGTTTTATGGCCGTAAAACTCCAAAACATGAAGAACAGTCATGGTAGGGCGGTGACTATGGTTCCTTTTGTCGTATTTGATGGCCAGAAATATTTTTAGGTGATCCGGGTCCAGTAGCTCGAGCCCATGTGGAAGACGTGGGCTATATCACACGAAAATATGGGAAACGGTCGAAATTCCAGTTTTATGGCCATAAAATGCAAAAAAGGAGGAACGGTCATGGCGGGGCAGTGACTATGGTTCCTTAGGTCGTATTTGATGGCCCGAATTTTTTTTATCCGATCCAGGTCCAAAGGGCCCGGGCTCACGCAGAAGGCGTGGGCTATAACATATGAATATATGGGAATCGAGCGAAATTCTAGTTTTTTGGCCGTATAATGCCAAACAACGAGGAACCGTCATGGCGGGGTGAGGACTATTGTTACTTAGGTCATATTTGATGGCCCGATAAGTTTTTAGGCGATCCGGGTCCGGTGGCCCTAGGGCCAAGCGGAAGGCATGGGCTATAGCACACGACAATATGGGAATCTGGAGGAATTCTAGTTTTATGGCCCACCAAAAAATGAGGAACGATCATGGCGGGCAGGTGACGAAAATTCCTTAGGTCGTATTTGATGGCCTGGAAAATTTTAGGTGATCTGGGTCCGGAGGGCCGTGCCCACACGAAGGGCGTGGGCTATAGCACATGAAATATGGGAATCGGGTTGAATTCTAGGAATATAGCCGTAAATTGCAAAATAAGGAGGAACGGTCATGGCGGGGCAGTGACTATGGTTCCTTAGGTCGTATTTGATGGCCCGGAAATATTTTAGGCAATCCGGGTTCGGGAGGCGGGACCCATGCGGAAGGCATGTGCTATAACACACGAAAATATGGGAATCAGGTGGAATTTAAGTTTTATGGCCGTAAAATGCCAAAAAAACGAGGAACAATTATGGTGACATAGTGACTATGGTTCCTTAGGTCGTATTTGAAGACCCGAATTTGTTTTAGAAAATATGGGAATCGGGAAAAATTCTAGTTTAATGGTCGTATAACGCTAAAACAACGAGGAATGGTCATGGCATGGTGGTTAGTATGGTTACCTAGGTCATATTTGATGGTCCGAAAACCTTTTAGATGATCCGATTTTGGTGGCCCGGGGCTCATGCGGAAAGCGTAGGTTATAGCATACGAAAATATGGGAATCAGGTGGA